CCCTTCCTGTTGCTAATACGGAGTTATATTCAGCAGATATATTCTCATCATGCCCAGAGAACGAAATATCTGCCTCTGTCATTGCCTCAGCTGAGCAGCTCTGAAATCATTACCCTGACAGCCTCTGCCTAGGATTGATTGTGAGGTGAGAGCTCCATCACTAGGCCACCTCACCACTCACTTAGAAGCATAAACGTTGGCTTCACTTGTGGTTGTAAATCAAGGACTGCCTGAATTCTTCCCCAAAATCTCCTCCAGAAAGAATTCAAGGGCTATGAATTTTAAAGGCAAACTCTGAAGTAATCACCTGATCAGCTTGGAATTTGGGATAAATGTCAGAATAGGCCCTCGCTCCTAAAAGTCCAGCCATGATTTAGTTCAGATCTCTTGACCATCAAAGAAGAAGGTTAGTCAAGGCATGCATTCATGCCCAATGAATGGCTTTCTTGTTGATTTATTTTTCAGTAAGTCAAGAATCCAAGCATTGCAATTCTGATCCCACGCTGGAAAAAAAATCTTGGCCTGTTTTGGGTATTTGATTACTGTGTAAGAATATAAAGCAGATTCTTAGTCTCGAGCCACTGGAGATTGATAACTGCAACTTCATATATCTATTCTTCATCCCAACTCTTTCCCCAAAAGGAACCCCTACAAAAATACCACAAAGAAGAGGGAGTCAAGCTGTTCTCCAAAGCACCTGAAGGCAGGACAAGAAACAATGGAGAGAAACTAACCAAGGAGAGAAGCAACCGAGAACTAAGGAGAAATTTCCTGGTGGTGAGAACCATTAACCAGTGGAACATCTTGCCTCCAGAAGTTGTGGATGCTCCATCACTGGAGGTTTTTAAGAAGAGATTGGATAACCATTTGTCTGAAATGGCATAGGTCTCCTGCTTGAGCAAGGGGTTGGATTAGAAAACCTCCCAAGGTCCCTTCCAACGCTGCTGGAACTCTGTCTTCCATGTTGGAACTGATGACCAATGGGACATGCCATTAAAAGAGAAATCCAGAGATGGTGGTTCACACCGGTTCATGCGAACCGGTAGTTAAGATTCAGCGCAGCTCGGTGAACCAGGAAATCCCACCACTGGCTGATTCTGCCCCTGCTCATTTTTTGGCCTGTTTTTTGACCCATTTTTCAGGCTATTTTCAGCCATTGTGGGGCATGTTTTCAGGCTGCATTTTCAGGCTGTTTTCAGGCCATTTTTCAGGCTGTTTTCAGGCTGCCTTTTTGGACTGTTTTCAAGCCATTTTCTGGCCATTTGGGGGGCCGTTTTCAGACCGTTTTCAGGGAGGCAGGGCTGGGTGTGATGAGTGACATCACCCACCCAATCACAAGACCAACCGGTATACCTACCCAATCAGAGAACTGCTTGTTAAGTGATTCCAATCCCACCATTGGAGAAATCCATGAACTAGATGCATGCTAAAATAGGAGATAGGACAGAGTTCAAAAACCTGAGGTTTTTTTTTTTTTTTTTTTTTTTGCAGAGCGACTTCCTTTATCCCTCATCAGTTTCTAGGATGTGGCAGATAGCATGAAAACTACATATAAATCATGGTTGTTTGTAGCACTGGGCTCCAAATGAGAAAGAATGCAGAGAAGAATGACAAAGATGGCGAGGCAATTGAAGGTTAAATCCCATGAAGATTGATTGTCCCAGGAACTGTGTGTGTTTAGCCTAAACAAAAAAGAATAAGAGGCTAGTAACTTTCCAAAACCGCGAAGGATATAAATCCTTCCATTCCCCAACATTCAGTGAGAACCGAAGAAGCTTCGTGAATGAGAAGCAAAATGTTTTCAAGGAAAAAAACAAGAAAGTCCAGGTGCCTTTCAGAAAAGCACCTCAGGGACAACTATGACCTGGATGACTGAGAATCCTCATATACTCCATCCTTCTCTCCCTCCTCCTCTCTCCCCCTCCCTCTCCCTATATATATATAGTAAGGTCTATCTATTTTATCTCTATCATTTCTCTCTCTCTCTCTCTCTCTCTCTCTCTCTCTCACTCCCCCCTAATCTAATCTATCACCTATCTGTCTATCATTATCTGTCTATTTATATCTATCATTCTCTCTATTCTCTCTATCTAATCTATTGTCTGTCTGTCTGTCTATCATTATCTGTCTATTTATATCTATCATTTTCTCTATCTCTCTTTCTCTCTAATCTATTGTCTGTCTGTCTATCATTGTCTATATCTATCACTCTCTCTGTCTCTCTAACCTATCGTCTGTCTATCATTATCTATTTATATCTATCATTTT